TTGCCCCTTGGGAACCCACTCCTATTGCAGGGTTGAGAAATTAATCAGAGGGTATAATTGTGTCATTACACAGCTTGATTGAGCTCAGTGTGCAATTGCAGAGCATACTGTTTGCCACTCCGTTAGAAGCTGGAGCACAGGTCACTGGGCATTCGCTGGTGTGTGGGGACAATGAGGTAGGGACCTAGCACCTTGGGGCTCCTGAGTTTTTTTTCCAGGGGCTGGTGTATTTCTGGTGCATTTCACGCAGCAGGGAAGGGCAGGACCTGGCTGATAGACTTCTGATGCCTTTCCAGTAGCTACAGTGTCTTGACCATCACGTTCTGTGGATACAGACCTATTGTTTCCGCCATAATTGTAAATGCGCTTCCAAGGAAGCCTTAGGGACCCACTGCTTTGTAGCTCATTTACACCAGGTCCTAGGGAATTTTGTTGTTTTCCGGCCGGGTCTGGGGCTTGGCGAACCCAGAGCAGGCACGCAGTCTGAATCAAGATTCTCCACCAGCTCCAGTGCCGGTGGTGTCTGAGCAATTGAATTGAGCTCCTGAGAAGGTTGCAGAAGCTCCAGTCTTCTTTATTGGGAGAGAAGGATTGTTCCCAGCATGACTCCCGTTCTAAGCATTGTAGTGGCAGAATAGGAGCTCAGTGGCTGCCGTAAATGTTTAGATGGACTCTGTGCAGTGCTGAGTTGGGTCATGTATTTATTTTATGCTTTAAAATACCTCAATTAGTAGCCCTTATTCTAGCATTCTGGGACACCAAGACTGGAAGATTGCTTGAGGTTAGGAATTCAAGACCAGCTTGAACAAGAGCGAGACTCTTGTCTCTACTAAAAATAGAAAAAATTGGCCTGGCGTTATGGCATGCTTATAGTCCCAGCAACTCTGTAGGCTGAGGCAAGAGGATCATCTGAGCCCAGGAGTTTGAGGTTGCTGTGAGCTATGACGGGGCCAGTGTATTCTAGCCAAGGTAACAGAGTGAGACTCTTGTCTCAAAAAAAAAAAAAAGTTATATAGTTCTGAGAGCAGAAGCCTTATATCGAACAACTTATGAAGCCTGTTGAATTGATTGTATGTTTTTCATTTATTTATTTAGAGACAGAGTCTCACTCTGTTGCCCAGGCTAAAATGAATGGCAATGGCCTCAGTGTAACTCACAGCAACCTCAAACTCCTGGGTTCAAGTGATTCTCTTGCCTCTGCCTCCAGAGTAGCTGGTACTACAGGTGCTGCCATAACACCTGGATAATTTTTCTATTTAGTAGAGATAAAGTCTCACTCTTGCTCAGGCTGGTCTGGCACTCCTCAGCTCAAGCGATCCACTTTCTTGGGCCTCCCAGAATGCCAGGAGCCAAGGTGCCTGGCCCTACTTTTATTTATTTTTGAGAGGTGGTCTCACTGTGTTGCCCAGGCTGGTCTTCTCAAACCCCTGGGATTAAGGGATCCTCCACCCTCAGCCCAGAGTAGCTAGGACTACAGGCTCTGGCAGTACCACAGTTGCTTCATGCTTTTATTTTATATATATATATATATATATATATCTCCAAGCATCTCAAACTCTGCACCCAGACCCTCCTGGTTTTTCTGTTTTGGTTCTTGCTGGGGCTTGACTCCATCTGGATAAAGCCAAGTAGTGGAAGAACCCAACATGCTTGTGGGAAGTAGAACAGCTGCAGTCATCTTGTAGTGCTTGTGGGAGCATAGAGAGTGAAAGTGAGATCAGAGTTCTGGTCTGGCTCTGAAAACTGTGGATGACTTTAGGCTAAGCAGTCCTCTCGATGGCCCATTCTCCTACTTAAAAATAATACTGCTTACACAGTTCTTTTAAGCACATGAAGAAGGTATTCTTCCTGTTTCCCAAAGAACATGGAGGCAGGAGGCAGGGAAGGGCAATTGCTGGAAGGACCTTAAAGACACTTTGTCCTTTTAACGAGGGTACAAGTGAACTTTTCTAGAACTAGAGTATAAATGTTTTGACACGATGACTAAGTAAATGACATGAAGTCTGTGTTAACCAGCTTGATGAAAGTATTTCGAATTGTATATGAAAACACTACACTGTCCCCCATGTTGCATTAATGTATACAGCTATCATTTAATTAAAAAAAAAAAAAAGACACTTTGTCCTGCTCTTAGACTGGAACCCAGACCACAAGGGCCTCAGGGAGCACTCTTTGAATGCCTGGCTTCCATATCGCCTCAAACAGGCCTCCTTTTCAGACCTGCCCTCACTTTGGAGTCCAGCTGGACAGAACTGGGTGCAGGGAGGTATGGCCAGGATTATGTATTTCCCTTGCCAACCTCTTCTCTCCCGGTCTTAATAGGAGTAAAGGGTGCTGCTGCTGGGGTTCCCAGAGGGTACAGAATACACAGTGTATTTGCTCAGTGTAGACAGACACCCCTCACCTTTCACAGGGGTGAATATGTTTGTGGAGAGAGCTGGTTCCTCCAGATTATTCTTCACCAGCTCTGGCATTGTAAACCCCAATGTTTGTATCCATTATCTAATTCCCACTTCCACCCGCCCAGGTTTCTGGGTTGTGTGTGTCTGGCGGTACCTGGGGTGGGTGTTGCTAGGGGCTGCGAAGGGAGGTTCCAAAAGCACCCCTGCCTTTGCCTGACACATTCCCTGCTGAAATCAAAAGAAGTAGAAGACCGCCTTCACCTTGGAATTTGTCCCCCCCCCCCC